TCTGTCCCCACCATCATGGACGCTAACCTTCCAGAACTGTAAGACTAAATAAACCCTTCTAAGAGCCATCTCGGTTATTGTGCTTTATCACAGAAATAGAAAATATATCTAGTACAGTTTATTTTAAATTTTACAGCACTACTTCTGCTACACAAAAGATTAAACCTCACTTCTCTGAACATTTTATTGGTCCTGAAAAAGGAAATGCTAGACAAAGCAGGTTTATAAGGAACCAGAGTGGGGTGCGAATAGACCATGACTCAGAATAAACAGAAATCTGCATATCTGCTAAGGACACTATAGAGTTACTAACTGGAAGAAGAAGCCAAACTTGATCAAACGAAAGCCGGTGTTCTACAATCACCTTGAGATTCTGGTCACTTTTGAGTTCTAATACAGGCATACAAACAGTAGCAGACAAATTTCAATCAAGTAAAAAGAGATTAAGGGTAGAAATGCATGCTCAACCCAGTTTCTTCCTTCCTACACCACAGGGCATAACTTCATCCCATCTGGTGATTATTAGGGGAGAAAGCTACCATCTGCCATTTCTGCTAATACAGGGAAGCGGGGCAGAGCTCTTGCCACCCTGTAAGCCTGTGGAGTTTCACAATGCCTGTTTACATGCCTGAGGAGCCAGCTGCTAAGACAGAATCCCCAGTGTGTGTGTGTGTGTGTGTGTGTGTGTGTGTGTGTGTGTGTGTGTGATACATTCAACACCAATGAAAGGCATCCCTTCCTTAAAATGTCCTCAGTGATGCAGGAGGCTGTGTAGAACACACCTCACAGCAAGCCCCCTCCCATCCTGCCTGACTCAGAGCCAAGATTCTGTTAGAGACATCCTGGAGTGACGAAAACTGTGTGGCAGTCAGAAAGATAGGCCACAAAACGGACACAAATAGAACTCGATTAAAAGACCCTGACCCTCCTTCTTGTCTATATCCCTACCCAGAAGAACAGAAGTTACTTTATCCTAAGTGATGCTCTATAAACTCTTGGGGAGGAATTTCTATAGAATCAGGTGTTTCCTTGAGACTTTAAGAAATGCATTTCCTTATGCTTAAGAAGACACAAGAGGGAGCCAGGTGGTGGTGGCACATCTTTTAATCCCAGCACTTTGCTGGAAGCAGAGGCAGGCAGATCTCTGTGAATTCAAGACCAGCCTGGTCAACAGAGAGTTCCAGGACACTCAAGGCTACACCAAAA